TCAATCAAAGAAGTTTAAAAGAAAACATCAATTTGCATGCTTTACACATTATTTTATATTGAACAGCATATTAATGCCCATATGTAAATATTATGACAATAGACCGTGTCTTTTAAAAATATCAAGTTATAGACATTTTTGGCATTAATGTTGTCATCGTATCAAATATTTTTTAAAACTCTAGAGTATAATGTACTGAGTGGAATAATTGAAAGATCATTATCACCGTTGAATATAGATTCTTCCCACACTTGCTCTTCTGCTCAAGCAAGGCCTTGGTGTACATCATTTGATCACAACATTACCGGTTATCTTCTCTCAGACTTTATCAGCTTGTCTCTGTAAAACTGTTTAGTTTGATATTTTTGAGAATATTTTACAAAATACACTTGCGATTTGCGCAGATGTAGTTGTTGCAGAAGATTCAAAAGAGCTTTTAGATGATCTTGTGCAGGTCTTAGCAAATCAACATGTTATCAGAAGACTACTGAATGCTTGACCTAAAAGTGTGCATTTTTTATTGCCATTTTGTTTCAATGTAGAACAGATTTTAAATATTCAACAATTAAGTATGTATCAGTCGCTTTACGAAAATAAAGCCTAACCATCTAATGGTACACAAAAGAGTTAAAACAAATTTAGATTATTATATTCTATCGATAGGCCACTCTTTCGGTAGGCGACTATATAACACTTTTTAGATTTTTACAATTTCTGTTGCATCTCGTTGATCGGCTATTTAAAGTTATGATATTACAACCGTGAAAAGTTTGTTTAATATTAGTGTTTGCGTAATAACTAAAGGGTGTTTTTTAGAGGTATAGAAATGTAAGCTGGTAACACTTTTTTAATTGTTAACCATTTTGACAGCTGTCAACTAATTTATGTTAAGTTTGGTTTGATATTTCAACATGAATAGACAACTGACGCCTGAACAACGCTTCCAAATTGTACAAATTGAACAACTATACTGTTCAGGAGATTTCATTTCAATAACACGGCGCAATATGTCATACAGCTCGTGCTACAATTGATTTATTTAAGGAAACGTTTGGTAACTGCAGAGTTTCACTTTTCGGACCGTGAATTAGCCTCCAAGATCGTACGATTTAACACTGCTAGACTATTTTATGTGGGGATATATGAAGGTGCTAGTCTACGTGGATAAGCATGAATCGATTGACCCCTTGAAAGACAACATTCTCCGCGATATTGCCGGTATACGGCGACAAATATTGGAAAAAGTGATCAAAACTAGACCTTCAGATTAGAATACGTCAGAGCTAGCCATAACGGTCATATGCCAGAAATAGTATTTAAATTATAATGCCAAAAGATTACCTTTCGAATAAAGTCAATTTCATATCAATTGATAAAAATCATCTTTGTTTTATTCCAATTCAAAATTCTATACCTCTAAAAAAACACCCTTTATAACAAGCAAAAAATTAAAAACAGTTAAGTAGTTATATAAAGCTAGTTTATGTTTATACTAGATTGTAATATTACTGACAGTGCAGCAAAGAATCAATGGGAACAATATCACGAAGCTTCAAAGATCACTAATATTAATGATTTGATATTAATGAAGAAATTGATAGAAATTTTTTTTAAAGACATATTCTATTTTTCTTAATAATAAATTTATAAGCCCAACAGGAAATGTTGGTATATTGTGCGTAGATACCTTCATACCTTCATGGTACGGTATCTAAATGATATTGCTTTTATGATCGATGATGTGTAACAGAATTTGTGGAAAAAATTAATGTTATAAGCATGCTACTCTTAGAATTAAAGTTAGTGGTATTATAAACTTATTTTGTATATTGTTTTTTTTGTGTAATAAACCCCATCTTTACATTATTCGACAATAGCAGATCAACAAATATTTTCAGAGGAGTTGCCTACGCTCAAAATTTTGTATGGCAAGAACATTGAGAAGAACAAATATTTGATTTTGTTGAGCTAAATATAATTGATATTCTAAAATGCACAGTTCATTCGAAACAAATTCGGAATCCTCCTGACTGATTAATTTGTCCTGTTGGTTACTGCTTGGAGTGCTAATATATTGTTTTGTCCTTTGACTTTGGTGCATAGCATTTTATTATGTTTAAATGTAGCCCTTAGGGTCCTTAACAGACAACATAGGACTTCGCAACTTTCTTGTGGAGTGTTTTACTTGATTTTGATATTTTTATGTTCTGCCAAAAAATCGTATTTTATCACCATTTTGAAATAAATGTAGTTATCATTTTATTAGGTAGTATTTTTAAGAATTATATCTAGATCAAAAAAGCAGGGAGCATGCGGAGTCCTGTTCTCAGTGCATACATTTTGTATTTTGACATAAACTTCGTTTCTTAAATATTTAATATTTTTATTAAAAATATTTCGATGCAAACGAAGTTTATAATACAGGGATTGTCTTTGTGTCTTGTACCTAGCTCCAGAATAAATCATTAAATGCATTAATATATTTTAAAAATCAGATCAAACTGATCAATATATTAATAAACGCACATCAAAAGCTTAAAGTTGACTAAAGAGAAAAAGAGATATATAAAAATTTTTCTTTGATTTGGTCGACCCAATGTATCGATTATCGTAATCTTGATCGTTATCCATTATTTTTAATTCAACAAATTTTTTTTATCTATGCCCGAAGAAGCTTAGGTATGATTGAATAATTTTCGTGGAAATGTGTATTCTTCTCCTTCTACTTCCTAGATAGGTTTGCTCTTGTTCCATCTCCGTATGCCTTTTTATTGGATGTCCAGGTAATCAATTCATTTTTTTTCTTGGCCTTCCTTTCTCACATGTTTTTAGTGATTATCTTATTTTCTTGATACTTTTTTTGCATCTTTAAAGAGAGTGTAACAATAAGACTACCAAAGAGAATTGAAGTACTATTGTAAAAATAATACCTTAATCAACCATGGGAGCTTATCGCCTATACCTTGCCTAGTTCAGTATCTCAAGTGTGAGTTCGTCTTGTCTTAAACTAGGGATTGAACCTGAGTTCTTAGCTGATAGCAAATAAGACGAATTTTAACCAAACATATTTATTAAAAATAATAAAAAAACAATCAACTCTGCCACAGCTTAACAATTAATTCGTGATACTTATTGCTTCGATGGGCTGCTTGTGTGTTGTATATGTTAGGTCCTCCAATTAAATATGTCTTCTGGAGAGCTGCAGTCACATGTGGGTGTATGTCCTGATTAAGTTAAGTCCTCAAATGGTCCTAATTATTTTAAATGTGGTCAATACATTTACTACATTTACTGTGGTCTATAAACCCAATAAACTAAAATATAAGGAACAGCTTGTATTAGTGACACATCAAAAGGAGTTTAATTTCCTTGCCATTTTACAAAATTACAATTGAACGTGAAAGTGATGGACAGAAAATAGGAAGGGGCTGACTGAATGAAGTTAGCACAGATATCATAAGATGTTGCTATAGATATAATGAAACAAGCTTGCCTGTCCTCACAGAACACAATATTTAGTCTAAGAAAGGCAGAGGGAGAAAAGAAAAACAGAGAGCGCCAACTACTTTTTAAATAAACAAAAATAGTAAAAATTAACTGAAGATAAAGCAATTAATAAATTAATAAAGAAATTAAAATGAAATAATTATTTAAATATAAATTAATAGAGATGTGACGTTTATAACGTTACAAGAGGAAGGAGAATCTGCGTCCTAACCCCACCTAGGTGCTACTCGCTCGTTTTAAAATTATATTTCGAGTTCCTTCTCCTCTCATTCTTTTGAATGAAGAGAGCAGCTCTCTGATAAATTTGTGGATCCGTGTCCACCACCACTCATCCCTCTTTTTTTCTCCACCATTTCTCTGACAGAATAAAACATTCTGCAGTTACACTCTCTTTCATTCGCCCAACGCTCACACTCCAACATCGTGTGTTACACAGTATCCGAGAGATCACAGTCAAAGCACTGATCGGACTGTGTCCTCCTAAACCTGAAAAAGTAGCTACGCAAATGCTCACAGCCATGCCTATGATTATTTCTTGATTTTTATCTGTGATGATGTTCTCCTGTTGATCTTGCAGTTTGCTAGCTATGTTCGATTTTTGAAGACCAGCTGGTTGTTTTACCTTTTTATGCATTTTAAATGTATCGTGTTTTTGTTCCAACAACTTTATCTGTTCACACTGTGTTTTTAACCACTTTTGTTTTTCCTTTCGTATTTCGGTTCTTATTTTCTAAATATTTTTGTACATTCTTTTGTTATTCTTTCTTCTCTGATCTTGTTAAAGGTTTCACATATATTCTGGAGTGATTCTTCTGGATCATATGTTTGTTCCATGTTACTTAGCTTTTTTGAAAGAATCCGTGCGACTGTCTCCTTTGTTTCCTTATCTTTTAGTCTTCTCATATCACATTTTTTGTTACTATTCTTTTTTTTTAACCATTTTCGGAAGATCAAGGCTCGAATTTAGAGCTGTTAGCACCAGTTATGATGATATTGTATTCTACACTTATATGTCGAACTTTGCTGATAATTCTGACCTAAGAAAGACTTTGAACGACAAGAATTAAGAAAGTTCGAAGTTTAAACCTAGGTAAAATTTTTTATTTAAGCAGCTAATGGAGATTGTACTTAGACGTCTTACCCAAACTTCAGAATTATCTGGACATATTATTCAGTTACTTTAAAATCCGTCACAGATGGCAATGACAGATAGGTAACAAATCTGAAAGTTTTGCAAATATCCAATATCAACATAAACAAAATTTCTATAGCATGTCTTTTCCAGACTATTCCTGCTGAAAATTGAGCAACACATTTACAACTCACGATTTTAATTTTTGAAAACCAGTATAATATTAAGATATATCCACCTATGGTATGCTATTATAAGTAAAACTAAAAAGACAATCCCTGCATAGTGTGTTTTATGCATAATACTTTTGACGAGTGGTTGACAAATCAAATACGTCGTATGGCTAAGACATATTTATCAGTTTTAGAACGACCTTCCTCGCAGATGTCCTATTTGGATCAGTTTTTGAAGGAAACTAATTCATCTTCGCAGCCGGCAAACACGTACGATAACCTGCCGGTGCCGAATTTGTATAAAGGTGGGTCGATCGAGTCCGAGGAAGGAGACATTGAAGATAATAGAGCATTAAGCATGACAAGCTCCAAAAGCAATTTATCAGAACTTAGTGTGGTAAGTATTTATTTTATTAAAAATGATTAATTTATTCTGAATACAAAAAAGATTTCAGCCATTTTTTTCGATTTGATTTCTTCCTTTTCTACTAATTTTTGTATTATTTTATCAATATTCGAGTTGTCTTTTCTTTTACTTCAGTTAAGAGTTTAGGGATTTGTTCATCTAAACACAAGGTCAATTTAGAAGAGGTTAAAATTCTTTGTAATAAAAAGAATTACACAAAAAGACATTCGTGTGATGGGGTGTTTCGGTTTTCGTTTACCAATTCGTGTTTGTCATAGAGCGTGCCGTCATCTGATAGTTCTTTCTGGTATCCGAGGCTGTATCTTCAGTTCTGTGAGCCAGTATGGATTCTTTACCCCAGGTAGGTGGCTAACCTCACCTTAGGGACACTCCTCCTTTATTCGGACTTGGGACCGGCAGTTTCATCCTATAAGCTACTCAATCCACCCATCAGAAAACTAAGGCGGAGTTAATAATAAATGAATATATAATAAATAAATAATTAGTATATACATACTCGTATATACTTGTGTACAACAACCCTTCTATGTAGATACTGGTGTGTTTGCCCAATATATGTTGAATTGCAATCTTTACAATTGATTTTATACACTGAACATCCGATTGATGATCTTTATTAACTTTTTTTGAAAAATATTTTCAGAATGTTTTTGATGATTTATGTCCAACATTGATATCATATTTTGCCAAAATTTTCAACATTTGTTCAGAGAATCCATTAATGTATGGTAAAGATTTATAGTGTTTATTTGATTCAGGTTTCTAAGCCCGTGTGATGTACCTTTGTTTTGTTAAGAGTCCCGTCAATAACACGAATTAGCCCAAAACACAACATTACCACCAGCGAAAGGAAGAATGAGACGAGAGCATGTGCTAGTTGTGCAGCTCTTGTTGTTGGCTATCACTATTTAAACAGATTCTGGTCTCATCTGAAAAAAGCACAAAATGTCAATACTGGTGAGAGAGCTGTATGTGTTCTTGAGCCCCCTAGAGGCGGTGCAAAACATGTCTAGGTTCTAGCTGAGGAACTCTTATTTGTCGACGAGTTCTCAAACCTGACTAAAATTTTTCTTCTTATTTTAAACAACTATACTCCTCTGTATGATGGCTCCTGTAGCATGCCTGAAGTCTCTTTGTAGGGCTGGTACAGACATAGAAGAATTTCTTCGAATGAAAATTCTGATATATCTGTTCTGTTGTTTATTGGTACGTCGGGGTCTACCAGAGCGAGATTTATTCTGTATCGAATTTGTCTCCAGAAATCTATTCGATATCCATGAGACATTACTCTGAGCAACACCACCTCTTCCCACCAAGAACCGCTGTAAATACTCTTTTTCAACTAAAGCGATAATTCTTGCACGGTTCAACTCAGCAGTACTGTTTCTTAATTCCCACAGGAAATCGCCAACTTGCTATTCTTTCCTATAATATCCCCTTCATCAGAAGAGAAATTTTAAACTATTTTAGTGTACAACAATTTATAATACTATCTAGTGGGATATCAATTTAACGTATTTAATGTGTTTACTATTTTTTAGCACGAACCACAATCTCCTTTGAAACATAAAGCTCATCAATTTTTGGTAAGAACGTTTTCTAGTCCTACAAAATGTAGTCATTGTACCTCTCTAATGGTGGGCCTTATGAGACAAGGAATGGTGTGCGAAATATGTGGCTTCACATGTCATACTTCCTGTTGTGCACATGTTCCCGCAGTTTGCCCTGTTCCTGCAGATCAAAGTAAGCAAAATTTATAATATTCATAATATGTCATACCTATATTGATAAATTATCATTGATTTTTTAAAAGTAACTTAAAATTATCCGTACAACTTTTCTAAGAATCTTTTTCAGAATAGGCAACTTGCATTATTCTAATTCTAAAATAATTAACTTAAAATAATAGCTTTCCCGAGACATTTTATTTTTAAACTAGTACTGTACTGATCACAACATTGTTTTATTGACCATACAACACAATGGCAATCGCTATGACATGTTACACGTTTCCACCTCTATATTCATTTCACAGTAGGTACGAATTGTCGTAATTGTCATATTGACATTAAAAATTTCAAACGAAGTTCTGAAAGGATTAACAAATAATTAATAAAATACCCATTACGTTGTATACCGTCCAAGAAGGAGTGCAACTTTTAACATGGTACTTTCAGGATCATTCAATACGCGAAGATTTATTTATTGTTGCCTTCGAAAGTAGACCCCCACCAAGTGTTACAACAGTTAAAAATGCAATTAAACATTTTCAAACTTCGGGATGTGTAAATAGTAGTAAAAAGTGTCATGAAGGTAATGAACCACGTATTAGACCTGACGATGAGGAGCGTAAAAACAGGGATATTGATATTTGTGCTATTTTGGAAGCTAGTGAACCCTGCAATAGTGTACAAATTGCTAGGGAAGTTAACGTGAATGCTCGAAATGTCCAGCGAGTTCTCCAAAGGAATGAGTATCACTGCTTTAAGATACAACCAACACAAGAACTGTTTCTGGAAGATAACTTTAGGCGGATGGAGTTTTGTGAATTTATGTTAGATAAATGGAATGAAAATGTACACTTTATAAAAAATATTTTATTTTCTGAGGAATCTTCATTTTCATTACATAAAAAACACAGTCCATCCGTTGCAAGGTATTATTGTCGGAAAAATAATCACCTCAGTTGTGCAGTGCAAACGCAGCATCCGCAAAAGTTAAATGTTTAGACTGGGATGTTAGGCGACCGTATTGCCGGTCCTTTTTATCGATGGAAACCTAAACGGACCCAAATATTTACAACTTTTACAGAATTTCCGGAACTGCCGGAACATTCCGGAAGTTCGATGCCTTCCCGTTAATTTTCAGGAGGTTTATTTCCAACAGGATGGGTGTTTGGCTTACAACTCTAGAGCAACTATTAACTTCCTCAATCAAACGTTTCCTGATCCACTGATAAGTACACGTGGTACAATTAAATGGCCCTCTAGATTCTGTGACTTAGCGCCTAACGATTTTTTTTTTGTTTTTCTTAAAGAAAACATTTATAGGCATAAGTTTGAAAGGGCCACAAACCTAGTCGAATTAAGGGCAAAAATACTTTATTTCTGTGCAAGCATTACACCAGCCCTACTCCAAAATATGAGGAGAAATCTGTATGGCAGATTTGGTTGCTGTTTAGCACAAGGAGTTGGAATATTTGAGCCCTTAGTTCATTAATCTGCTTTCCTAATTTTTCTAATTACCTAATTTCTTAATTAGGTATTATTTTTTTGTTTAAGTTTGGAAGAATTTTAGTTTTTTTTTTTTATTTAAAAGTACAAACGATTCTTATTCTGATTTTTTTTCTTCTTTCTGGTCTTATTGTTATAAGCTTTGTTTATAAAATTTGCACAATTTTCAGTGACACTAAAACATATTATTTATTTACTTACTTATTTATTTCCATTTCTATTAGGGCTAAAAAATAACCAAAAAAAATAGTTTTAGAGCATTATAATAAATATACTCTATAGATGGGATTGCAATAAATCTTAGTTCCTATGGTCAACAAAACAATGCCGCTATCTGTATATAAATCTTGATTACTAGAGATAATTTTGAATGCATTAAAATTTTGATCACCATGTTGCTGCTATAATGTCATTACTCTATATAGGTATGAAAAATTAAAAATTGAGAAAACAACAAAAAAAGTATAAGTTGTTAAGTTGTCTAACAACATAAACTTGGAAAATAAATAAAAGATAATCTTTTTTTTTTAACAAATTTTACATAATAATAAAAAAATTAATATTTTATATTTCACACTATAATAAAATTTCAAGGTGAAAGCTGAGTTGAATATATATTGTCCAGGATAATAATCATTTTATATTTACGATGAAGATCGCCTTTAATATAGAGCAATGATGTCAAAACATGTCTTGTCGCATCAAAATTTACATTAAAAAATTAATATCTAGGTGTTTTATATTTCAATTAAAAAATAAAATAGCTTTTAATTTTTTTATTTTTAACTTGTTGGTTTTTGTTGCAAATTATTGATTTAATGCATTTTTGATAGCCATTCAAACACGATTTCACAAAATCTTTTATTTTAGCTAAACGTCCTCTGGGCATCGATCCTACCAGAGGCATTGGAACAGCGTACGAAGGTTATGTCAAAGTTCCAAAGCAAGGTGGTGTTAAGAAAGGTAAATTAAAAAAACATAAAAAAGATCATTTGATCACTATTCCTGATTTTCAGGTTGGATCCGACAATTCGTAGTTGTTTGTGATTTCAAACTTTTCTTGTACGACATATCTGCCGATCGAAATGCCTTACCAAGTGTTCATGTAGCGCAAGTGTTGGATATGAGGGATCCACAATTCAGTGTGTCCAGCGTTAAAGATTTGGATGTGATTCACGCGAATAAGAAAGATATTCCGTGCATTTTTAAGGTAAAGCTATCTTTATCTTTGATTTTTCGTCTTTCGGGCCTTTGTAGGTCTTTTTCAGTAACCTACTAATAAAAATTTAATCAACGCATAGAGATTTTCTCTTTGCGTTATATTTATTTATTTTTCTACTTTATACTTTCATGTTAAACTTTTACATTTTCTCCATATATATCGGTATCTACTTAACTACTGGTTACTGAAAAATTTTTAAAAATTAAACTAAGTAAAATTAAATGAAATAAATAAAAATTTTAAATAAGTATAAAAAATTATAAAAATTAAGTAAAATTAAATAATATTAAATAAAATTATAATACCGAATAATAATAAAAAATATAATAAATACAAAAAACACAATATTTTAATATTCTTTTGCTCATAAAACGTATCAGAAAAACAATAATTCTAATTTAAGAGCGTAGACGCAAAAATTTCGGGCCAATGCTTTTTAAATGCATTCATTTTTTTCGAATCCTGAGAAAACTAATAAATATTTTTGAAAAATTTAAACGTAGAATGAAAGAATACATTATTACCGAAAGTCCATGAAAACTTCTATGTTTATTTTAATAAGTTACAGGGGTGAAAAAAAAAAGAGAAAATTTAGTGTGATTTTTAATTTCAAATATCTCATTCAAAAAAACTTTGTGTTTATTCTAAGGGACTTTCCGCCCTTGGTAATAATGTAATCTTTCATTCTGCGTTTAAATTTTTCAAAAATATTTGTTAGTTTTTTCAGGATTCGAAAAAAATTAATGCATTTAAAAAGCATTGGCCCGAAATTTTGCGCCTAGGCTCTTAATAAACTATTGTAACTTTACAAAAGGCGTCAATTATTATTGATACTTCAAACCATTGTAAATATGTGTACTTTATATTATTTTAATAAACAAAACCTATTTTCGAGGTAATATATTATTTTATAGTACATAACAATAAGTAATTAATCAAAAGAATATGAAAATAAGATTTTTCTTCTGTTTATTTTTTAAAACAAAAACAACGAAATTCTTTCAAACTAAAAATATAATTTAAAAAATATAAAATAATAAATAAATATAAATAAATAATACAAAAAAAAATATTTAGAAAGCTTGCTCTAAAAGTCCGCCCTCCTAAGCAAGGCAGTAATCCATACGGTCATAAAAACCTGACTGTACATTGGCAAGCATGTTAGGGCTAATATTTTGGAACGCATGTTCTCTTTTTAATTTAAGTTCTTTCACATTAGTAGCTCTCATTGCTTCAGCTTCAGTGTTTTATTGTTACATAAAATGAATTTTCATCAAGTAACAGTCGAATCCATCAATTACTTTGTTTTTGTCTAACTAAACCTTTTTCTTCAAAAGTTTGTTATCAGTTTTTGTTCTACTACATCATCAGCATGAATTAAGCACCAATGAATGTCACTTTGAAGTTTCCCATTGATTTCCTCCGACATTAATGAGAATAAATAAAAACTGCGCACTGAGTGCACACCGAGGAGCCTCTGGAAGTACCTTATCACACGCGTTCTCAAGATAAATGAACCCTATATGGACGTTTATTTCTTTATTTATAGTTTTTTCTTATAGTTTAGCCTTAATATGAAAAGTGTATCTTGTTGATCTATCTAAATTAAATAAAACAGAAGTTTTACATATATTTGTTTTGATTTAAGTATTTTATTAATAATTAATCAATTCTTAATGAATTAGTTAGAGTATTTCCAATACTTAAAAAACCTTGCATCAAGACATACATTTCTAAATAATATAAATATTTTACAGATCACAACATCCTTGATGGAGCCACCTGGACCTAGAAATTCAACATTAATGTTAGCTGATACAGAAGCAGAGAAGAACAAGTGGGTTGTTGCATTAGCCGAACTTCATAGGATAATGAAAAGAAATAATCTTCCGAATACCACAGTTCTTGTTGCTAGAGAACTTATTGATACGTCTCTGACGTTATTAAGAAACGCGTTGAGTGGGGCAATTATTGATCCCGACAGAATAGGTATGGAACAAAACGATTTTATATGTATTATGTATGTAAGAGTAGGTTAGATGTAAGAAAATACCCTGAAAATAATTTTAATGGAAGAGTTATGCATCGGGTTTCTGAAATTTTTTGGCCTCCTCGGTCTCCAGATTTGACGCCACGCAATTTTTTCTTGTGGAATACCTACAAGAAAAGATTTATCTTCTAAAGCCATTTACAGATTTTGTTCATTTGTAAAGAATCATTGAATCAAGAATGTGTTCCGAGTATTACTCTGGCTATGGTTAGAAGGGTATTGAAAATCTTTCGTGATTGATTGAGAACAATTACCTGTATTGAAAGAGAAAAGTTTGATAGCTGATGGTTGTATCTTAGGTATTAGACCATACAGAACATTTTATGAAGAATAACTTTTTTCTTAAAGTTAATATTAAAAAAGTTTCCCATGTCTTGCCAAATTAAGGTAGACACGCAGTATATATAAACTAAGTATTACATAATTGTTCTCAAACATAACAAGAATTTTTTGCAGTTCTAGGTACCGAGGATGGTATGTATTGTATAGATTTGGATCGAACAGAAGTGGCTAAAATAGGGGATGGGAAGAAAATTTTCCAATTAGAGTATATTAGCGAAGAACATTTGCTCGTGGTTGTGAGCGGTAAACAAAGACAAGTGAGGTTAGTGCCTATAAGGGCACTAGATGGTGATGAAGTCGAATGGATTAAGGTTACCGAAAGTAAGGGTTGTTCTGTTCTTACCGTCGGGCCTGTGCTACGTGCCCCACTGACGTTTTGTCTTTGCGTGTCAATTAAAAAACAGGTAGGACTTCTTAATTTACGATCTAGATAGTAAAGATTAGATTGATTTGATAATTACTAGTTGGATATCAATACTTCGCAGGTAGGTTAGTAAGTGGCTTTTTTCGATTATGTTAAAAACCGCTTACTAGCAAAATTATGATGAGACTCCTAGATAAATTAGCTAATTGAGGGCTTTCATCTAACACATACCTACCTTGATCTTATATATAGTATAGAATAATTTTTGTTTATAATGCCTTTGTGTTAGCCTTTATATTCTGAACAAAAGCCATAAGATTCATTGGCTTCTTATAACAATTAATTGTAGTTGGAATGCAAGAGTTTGATATCATATCATTAAATATAAAATAAATCGTAACAAATACATCTCATAGTAAACTAGCATAATCATCAATAGTATCTAGATCTAAATATAATGTTTTAACCATAAACCATAATTAATTTTATTGTATGTTTCAACAGAATTCTTCAGTAATTATTATTTATGAAATAACTCGTACGAAAACAAGGCACCAGAGAGTACGAGAAATTGGTTTACCAGTCATTGTACAGTCTCTTCAACTATTATCGGATGGTCGATTATGTGTTGGATCACCATCGTCGTTTACCGTTTACAATATTCAAAGTGGTGATCAACAGTTAATATGTAAGTATAAACTCTTATTTACGAAAGATTTTAATTTTTAAATCATTCTGCATACTGCTACATGGATTATTTAGTACTGTTTCACTTTATCTCTGAAATGCACAAACAAACAACGGCGAACATGGTGGAAGTTAGCAAGTGGGAACAGAAACGCACGTACACTCCGCGTAGAAATTTTAATTATTCATATATTTTCAAGTTTTTGTAAATTATTGGAAATAAATTTATCGTTTTACACTTATATAACAAAATAATTCGATTTTTCAGATTGGTGTGTTAAAATATTTGCTTGCAATCCATTTTTATGAATCACTATCATCGGATTGATCATTTTCACCGTCAGAACTAACACTAAAATCATGGTCTGAGTAATTTTCATTTTCAAGATTCAGAATAATTAGATTAAAATAATTTGATTAAATCAAATTAATGGTGAAATCATAAACAATTTAAGATATGCGGACAATACGGTTTTGATTGCTGATAATGCGGAGTATCTGCAAACAATAGAACATGTAGTGGAAGCCTGTGACAGATACGGCATGAAATTAAACTGTAAGAAGACCAAAATTCTTGTAGTAAGTAAAAACGACGTAATACACCACCAATTCACAGCTAATAATGAACCCTTGAAAATAGTCGACAAAAAATTACATATCTTACAAAATTACAGATCTTACAGGAAATAACATATCGTATAGAAAAGGCGAGAGCTGTCTTCAATCGCCTCAGGAAAATATTATGTAATATGCACCTGAATATTGATATAAGAACATTGATATAAGAACACAAGTCTTGAGATGCTATGTATTTTCTACCCTTTTATATGGCGTCGAAACCTGGACCTTGACGGAGGCAACATCCAAACGATTAGAAGCCTTCGAAATGTGGTGCTACCTTCGCATGCTTAGAATTTCCTATATCCATCACGTTACAAACAACACCGTGATCCAAAGTATGAATAACGATCTGGAAATTATGCGTATCGTGAAAATCAGAAAGATGACATACTTAGGGCATGTGGGCAACTAATTCAACTAATTTTACAAGACAAGATAGAAGGCAAAAGGTCTCAAGGGCGCAGAAGGACATCGTGGTTGAAGAACATCAGACAGTGGGCAGAAATGACTACCATACGTCTATTTAGAGCAGCTGTCAACAAAGTTGTATGGACCAACGTAAAAGAAGAAGAATAATTTGATCTATTGCTGTATCTATCATTGATTTCAAGGCAAGAATATTTTTCCCATTTAAGATCATGTTGCCAACAATTGTACCATTTTATTGATGAGAAATTTGTTTGTTATCACTTTGGTTGTTAATGTTAGTGTTGTGTTCAGTAGGTTGTTGTCCGTGTTTGATTTGCCCCCCGTTTTTAAGAGAGGTATTAGAATGCTTAATCTCCATTCTTATGGTATTCTGTTTTGTTCTATTATTTTTTGGAATAGTTTTAATAGTTGTTTGGTCAGATATGGTCCTCCTTACCTGAGGAGTTCGTACGGCGTTCTATCATATTCTTCATAATTTTCTATTTTTCATTATCCATACTGTTTATAGGGTTTATATCAGTATTTTATCAATTTTAAATGTTTAATGACTTCAGATGACTTCACATGATTTAACATTTTTATGTTATTTACTGTTTTTAATGGTAATTAACCACATTTTGAATTGAAAATACCATTATTTTAATTTTATTTTTCGCTTTGTTCAACCTATTGTTGTTTTTGGTAATTTAGCCACCATAAAATGCCTCAGCCACCAGTTATATATTTTTAATTTTTTTTTTTTTAAGAGGGACACTTACAAATTAAAATTAAAATAATTAAAATTCACCACTGTATTGTAAACATTCTTTTGCTCAAGTACTGTTGTGATGTGTTGGCAAAAATCGTTTAGTTTATTCGCCAATATGTTAGTTTACTATAGTTTATTTAGGATATAACAAGTTTTGCTATTTTGTTGCTTATATTTATTAAGTATTGCAGAATGGTCAGATCTGAGTCTAAGTTTTCGTGAATATATAATTTACTTTTAGTGTTAATTTTAATATAATATATTAATTATTGTTGTTACATATTACATATGTATTTATTTATTTCAGCGTTATTGCATCCTGATAATCCTTTATATTCTACAATAATGTGTAGTGCTGTGGAAGCTATGCGGGTCATAGAACTACCAAGGCATGAATACCTTTTAGTATTTGGAACTCTTGCAGCGTTTGTGGATAGACACGGTCGAAGATCGAGAGATAGAGAAATTATGTATCCTGCAGTTCCTATAGCAATAGGTAAGTTGAATCTATTTACAGTTGAATGTTCGAAATCATTATCGTTTACGCGAATGAAATAAGCTATCTGTCAAAAATATCACTTCATAAGTGACTGTAAGTGTAAGTGTTCTTAGATTTTTGTGCGATTCTGTTGCGCGGTTTTAATATGTCGTTGTTAAATTTTTAGACGACGGAAAACCCACACCAACAGATATTTAAATTACCACTCAAACCACAACAAAAACATTAAAAAGAGAAATATAAAATCATTATATGATAGAGCCCACATCACCTGCCCTAATGAAAATGCATTTGAGGAAGGATTATACATATTATAAACAAATAATTTAACAAGATTGAAGAAAGGAAACAACAAAACACCATAAAAAAATAATTTTTATGTGGGACAAACAGCAAGACCACTAAGTGTCAAGATAAATGAGCATGAAACATACAACAAAAACAGAGACTTTGACAGATTACAGATATGCAAACATGCCTTTAACAATGAAGCACAGAGTAAATTGGAAATTAACAGTCATTAAAGAAACAGACATGAAAAAGAGATAATAAAAAAGAAGCTCTCATCTTACTCAACGAAGAAAAATGTGTAGCAAACACATCAGCAGAATGTAGCAGGCCCCAGGTCCTGGTTGCCAATAATAAAAGAAGAAGTTAGCAACATGTACAACTATAAATATGTAAAACATATGCAACCCACAAAACATAAACATGCAATACATAAACACATACTACATAAACACATAATACTTAAACACACAAATCAGAATTTATTATGATACTGAGGGTACAAACGCCACCCTCAGAATTTTCAATTACAAGCATTCCATCAATGTTGTAATTAGTCGCTGAATAATGCTCAGGTATGTGTTTCATACGTGGATACTAATGAAACTCATATCTCACTTATTGCGCTTAAAATTGATCAAGTTTTTTCTATTTTCAGGTTATAGAGATGGACATTTAGTAGTTTATAGTGATACCCACATAGACATATTTAACTGTGCGACGGGAGAATGGGTCCAGACGCTTAATATTAAGAAAGCGAAACCATTAAACGATAGTGGCAGTCTGACTTTATGTTTCTTGAACGATCTAGCACACCTACTCTATTTGTCCAATATTCATCAAAGTAAGTCTCCTTATTATTATTTTTAGTATAATATATTATACATAGTTATGTTGTTTTATTTATATGTCTGACCATTGCTAAATGGTCCTAAAAGCCACGACAAAATAGGCAGAACAGTACAGCAAATTTTTAGGCTGTCTTTGTTGTGGCTTGCAAAATGTTTAATAAAAAGTACAAAGAAAGGTTTCTATTACAATTTTTCCACTATGTTCATATCTAAATTGTCATTAGTCTACTTAGTACTATCGGAAAGTATGCCTTGTTTGAATCCATTAAAGTTTTAAAAATACATTAATAAGCATCGAATTCAAACTTTTAATATTGTATGACTCAATTCTTAAGCAAATTTTTCAGTAATTGACTGAAATGACTGAAACTTATATGCAATAAACTAAAACCAACTTGTGTGAAAATTGTCTTTTTTCACACACATGAAAAGCCTCAACTGCGAGGTTGGTTCTAATTTATTTTGACTTAGAAGTAATATGTTCATCGAAATAAGATTTAGTTTGAAGTGTGATTTCTAGAATATTCTTCTTTTTGTTGCGCCGTCTTTGGCATCGGTATCAATAGAGTGTTATGACGTCATTTCATCATCCCTGCTTCGTCAGACTCTCGGGCTGATACAAAATTAAATTCAGAATGTCCAAGGAATGTATCCCAAATCTTTACCACTGCGGTGGTTAGCGTACAAATTTCTCTTAATTCTGTTGATCTTCTTGTTATTAGGGTTAGGTCATCCGCGTAAGCTAAGCATTCCAATTCCAATATTATATTGAAAAATACAATACACAGGGGTCCATCTTGTCGTAGACTTCTAGTGATGTTAAACTTGTCGGAGACGTGACCTTCTATCATAATTTTACTTTTGGTTTTATTCAGAAGTGATTTAGTAAATCGTAATTTTATCCGAGAAGTCAAAATATTTTAATGTTTCGATCAATTTATGTCTGTTTATTGTGTCGTATTCTTCAAAATCGATAAAAAATTGTTTAGTGACAAATTGATTCATATGAACTAGCCAGGATCTGTTTAACTGTAAAAATTTGGTCTATTAATTATCTGTTTGCTCCAAACCCAGCTTGGTATTTTCCTTTAATGTAGAATATTACTTCTTCTTAATATGTTAAACCTAATTTTGAGCGTAGGCACTCCCAACAGATACCTGTGTTGTGTATCATTGTACGGGATCTTCAGTTTAACGTCATCTCCAAACGATGAAGAATATAGATGCTATACTAGACATATTACAACTTCATGGCTTATTAAGGCTTTGAAGCGGCGACTCTGGAAATACTTTTTTATTTTGCAGTGAGAATCAAACCCAGATCGTTCGGCACCAATGGCCTATATAGCTCACCTGAGCTACCTATGACGCAAAAAAGAATAGATACATCAAGAAAATTGTTCGGTATATTTTTTTCCTCTAAATGTTTTTCTATAACACTAAGTTGTCCATTACTTTACCAATATAACTGAGAGTGGAATACAAATTGGTGTAATGGTATATTTTTTCAGTCTACTATAGGTTTTTTTTTTCAGTCTACTACGAAGCTATTTTAGAATTTCTTCTGTTCGTAAGTAAAAAACCATGAGCTTTCCTAGGATTGATATTTTCTTTTATTTCAAAAATTCTACATTATCTTTCACATTTCTAGCGGCAATTACACCACCTGTCCTTCATTTAATTATTTCGCCCTTTGTCTTTTTCACTTCGTTTCTTTAATACAAGTAATTTTTACTCTCATTTTAAACGGATGACGGACTTTATACTATATTATTTATAAAACTTCAATGATTGCAAAAGTCTATTCTAATCTTTCTCGTTTTTCTAACCTGTAAATGTGTGCTTCCTGAAAAAGTCCTCACACGGAAATTCGAACGGAGCTTTTGCTTCCGGAATATTACATTAATAGATAGTGATGGGTTTTGTTAATACTTTATGTAGCTGACATAATACGGGATTCAGAATTTAATAATAAGGACCATATTATTTCACGTTATAAATTACTTTCGTTTATATTCTAATATTATTTTCAGGAGAACTTTTAAATATTGATAACATAGTTACTTTAGACCGAGATGGGAGAACTATTCATAAAACGAGAAGAAGATTTTCTTTACGAGAAGGCAATAGAACCCAACGCATGTAAGTATTGATAAATATCACTTTTGTTTTTAATATAGTCTTTTTATGTTGTCATCTTCCTCCGGAGATTAGCAATCATTACAGCTATTATTATCTTTGATGCTGAGTAGCTCAATAATGGAGGTGAAGCCATACCATTCAAGGAGGTTGCTTTACCACGAAGAACTCTTTCCTTCTATTTTGCCCTTTATTATCAGCTGTAGTAGGACCTATCTTTCTCCTCTCATTACATGACCAAAATATTTTATTTTTTTCTTCTGGATGGTAAATATTAGTTTCATGAACAATACTTGTTCATTTCTTTGTAGTTTAGGTGAAGAAATCTTCAACAAACGTCTATACGTCGAGATTTTAGAAGCATCCAATCTTTTGATGTTAGATCTTTTCAAAGTCAAAGCTTCACTTCCATATAATAATACAGAGTAGATGACGTAGCTTAAGATCGAGTCATTCGCATCCCCAGTTCTAAATTAATATTCCAGTTAGTAAGAAATTATTTCATTTTTATAAATGCAGCTCTTGTCATGTCGATTTGCTTGTTAATATTTATGGTTTGATTATGGTTACAATCTAGCGTTGCTCCTAGATATTAATAATTATTTATTCGTTATATTATATAATCATTAATTTGTAATGGAGGAATAAGAGTACTATTATTCATGTTGTTCATGCTAGTGGTTGGTGACTATATTTGTTCTTTCTAACAAGTCTTGTATGTCTTCCAGGTTGCTAGCGATTAGAACTGTATCGTGTATTATAATAGCTTGGTCAATCTGACTAGTTTGTCAGATTGTCAATCTGACTCGTTTGTCAGATTGTCATGTAATAGTTTTGTATATTAAAAAATATATAACGAAATATTAAATTTACTCTATTTATATTTGTCAATTTTTTATACTTGACATATGTCTGTTTTATTTATAATTAGTGTTTTAAAATTATCCTTTTCGCAAACAGGAGTACCGATAGAAGATCTAAGCTTATATCAGCTCCAACCAACTTCAACCATATCAGTCATATGGGACCAGGAGATGGAATCCAGCGCCAACGGTTAATAGATCTAACACCCACCCGTACAGACCAGTTACCGGAACACAATCCATTTAGTACTGCCACTACTCCACCTCAAAGGGTAAGTATGCTTCACATTTTTAGTATGGGTTCACAAAGTAAATAATAGTTTCAAGTACTTGTATATACCACTTTTGATTTAAAAAAATGGGCGTGTATTGATATCAATGCCTTTGATCAACCCGGAAGTTTAACAAAAAAAAACGATCTTTTCGAACGAACGAGTTTGGTTCGGTGTATCTGTCCGTCCGAGGATTCGAGAACTGCAACAGATAGATAAAAGAGGTGCAACATTCCCAAATATCACTTTTATTGCTGAACTCACAACTTTTATCTCTTTTTATAACCCTAATCTAAACTAACCCAAGACTAACGATTTTTAATGAGTTTTGAAAATCTGACAATTTATTTATTCCAATATGACTGAAATTGTACCAAAGCATCGTTATATACATGTTGACAGTACTCGCAAAAATGTTAACCTCGCGTACTATTTGGCTTTAAGTACTGAACGTAAGAGAGTATGCAAAAATGTTCTTTATGAATTTGCTAGCTGTTTATTTCATTATTATCATCACCAGATTATTCCATCTGTAAAGGACCATGTCAGGAATCATATTAACTCTATTCCGAGAATCGAGAGCCATTATTGTAGACCTCGTACTAAACGCGAATATATAGAAGGATGTCTTACCATTGCTGCTTTACACCGAAATTATGTTTATAAATCTGTTTCTGATGATAAACAATATGTTCCCTACCAAATGTATTATCACATTTTTATGATAGACGTTAATATCTCCTTCTGGCAGCCCAAGAAAGACCAGTGTGAAGAATGTACATCATTCAATAATGCTGACTATAAACCAAGTCTACAAGCGAAACATGAAAACCATCTGAAAGAGAAAATTCTTTCAAGATCAGAAAAAGAAAAAGATAAACAAAAAGTTACCGAGAATTTTATAGTTGCAGTTTAAGATTTTCAGGCTGAAATGCCATGTTTACAGGGCGAAGTCTCCAGATTTTATTATATTTCTAAAGTAAATGTATTTAATTTTACAGTTACCGAAAACTGGGTTCTAAATTTACAAATTGTTTTGTATGACATGAAGAGGAAGGAGCACGAGGAGTAAATGAAATTGGCTCGTGCGCGTTTATGTATTTGGAATATTTATTTAATTTTTATAAACAAAAAAATAAATATATGGTGGCAATGTATCAATATGGCTTAAATACTTTCCCAAAACTGAAGAGTATTATTCACAAATTTCTAATTTTAAAGGACGCATTCAAAATGAGGGCTATAAGCTTCATTCTACAATTCAAATAAATGTGTCCAGAGCTTTGAAATCTTCTCCAACTTATGAGCTTGGCCAAGATATAACATTAATAAAAACTGCAAAGAAAAAAGGGATTATTCAGTGAACGAACTGACCCATTCTTTCTTTGATCTCAAACAACTTGCTTGTGGAAACTATACAACTAATGAAAATGGAGATAAGTTGGAGAATGGTATAAAATGAAGATAATTAATTCACATTGAAAAACAAAAAAATTAACTTTATAAGACTTTTTATTAAGATGAAGCATTCAAATCTGTGATGACATTTAAAAAAGGCAACGAAATTTTAGTAATTCTGATATTACACCAAAGGGACTATATTCTCAGAAGCTGAAAATTGCACAATCCAAGAAACAGGGTATTTTCAATCTGATAAATAAAATATCATACCAAAGTATTATGAAGCATTATTGTTATCTGCTAATACCCCTTTCGGAAAAATACTTACGCTGTGTTTCAATACAGTATCAAAATATCAAAAAAATAAATCAAAACTTTGGGTAGCTTCTATCTATACAAAAACTGTGATTTTAATTTGTGGCTCTTTTGTATTGAAGTAGCGATATGCAACACACAATACACAAACATATATTCTACGTTAAGCACACATTATACAAATAAAACAATAAAACATACAAAACAGTCGCAATTTGATATTCCGAGAGTAAAATGTCCACCCTCAATTTTTTTTCAGTCAAAAAAAGACTATTGCCTACAAGATCAAGGCCGAGTAAGTCAATCATTAATTTTAAAAAACAAAACCTACTAAAAACTTGTTGGTTATACATTTTCCCGTAATTTTTTAAAATAATCTTTTTTTGAAAACGATTTCCGGAGTTGAAATCGAAATGTCAAACTTTATTTAAAAATGTAATTTTCATTGCATAAATTGTGGCTTATCCCTATATAAATATGATATTTAACTTAGACATGCCACAACAAAACAATTTCAAAACGTTTTTATCTCCTAATATAATTGAATGGATTATTTCTGTTTTCGTAATAAATATTGTTTATTCATTCTCTGTTACAGATACCAACAAAATCTGCACCATTACCGCCGAAGCACGGAGAAAGAAAAAGGCCGGAAATTTCGAATCCAACTCCTATCAGACCGAATTTTCCCGCCCACAATGGAGCAAAAAGGGCTGCACCTCCTCGACCAAGGGATTTACCCCCAGCCTTGCCTAAATCGTCTGATAAATCACCTTCTCCTGATCCCGCTAGCATCGGTAGTATGTCATCTTTGCATGAAATGATAAAGGTATGTTCACTTTTAACTATACTAGGTCATTAAAAACTGGCAAATTTTATAATATTCTCGATAGTTAAAACTCTAAATAACAAAATACTAGAGGGTTACGCACAATTCATCAAATACACACGAAGTATTTGATTTATTGTAATAGGCAACTTATTCTTGTATTGTAAGCTTCGAAAGTGTTTTGCTCTAGTTATAATTTTTCTTTTTATGCACCATGTGTAGTAGTTGAACTTTAATTTGTTGTCTAATTCTATTCAGAAATACTTACATATTCTGAGGGTTTAGAATAATATTGTTATATATGTTTGTAGTCGGAGAGTGATGTTGAATTCCATGGATAAATATTATTAGTTGTGTTTTAGAGGGATTTATTATTAATATGCATTTATTGGACCAATATATTGTGCCATCCATCTGCATTTGTATTGAGTTAATTATACCTATTAAATTTTTACCAAAAGATATCACTGCCGCGTTTTCCGCAAATTGTAACAAAGTACTATTGATTATTTCGTTGTCACATATGTTACTGCAGGTTATACAATAGAGCAGACTGCGGTGAACCTTGTGAAACTCCTTGTTGCATTGAAAATGATTGGTAATATGTGACTATACACCTGCGTCTTTTAAGAAAATCACCATATGAGCAGTTCATCATGTATATAAGTGCAGTCTTCAGTCCTTGTAATCCGCGTGCCTGTGCATTACTATTGAAAGAGGAGGGATTGTTAATGATTTTTCCTTAAATCCAAATTAGTGTGCTGGATTGTTGGTTTAATTTTTTATATAATCTTCCTTGGATAATTTTCTGAAACATTGTTCCTATTAATGGGAGAAGAGTGATTGGATGGTAATTTTGAGGTCATTTGTGGTTAGTATTAGGTTTAGGAATAGTTAATACAATACCTGACTTCCATTCATCAGGGAAGACATGATTCATCGTGCAATAATCATATATGCTCCTTATTTCCCTATGAATAACAGAATCTTTGTCGTTTGGTTACATTCATCTTCTCTAATGAACCAAAGGGCATTCGGATTACGATTGTTCTTATAAATAAATCTAACATTTAATGTAATTTACAGGCATCTGAATTTGTTTCAACACCACATTTTAAACTCCACATTTTAAACTTAGTTACAATCTTACAGGGTGTTTCATAAGACGGTCGCAGACCAAACTTATGCTTTTTTAAACGGAACACCATGTATTTTATTTTAAATCTGCTTCACTTCCACATCACAACAATGTAAAGTTTTATTATGTTATAACGGGTATTTAAAAAGTTATAACCAATATGACCAGAAAAATCAAGTTTAACTCCCTATATAATTAAAAAGGAGTATAGGAACACTGATCTATTGCAACCATGGTTTTTTGATAATTGTTAAAAATTATAAAACATATTCGTTTTCATAATATTCGTTAAATCAAATACAGGGTAAGTTAAAATGCAAGTACATTATTTTCTTAGTAATTTTAAATAAAACACCCTGTATTTTATATCACTATCGAAAAGTACTAATATCGTACTTCAAATTTTATGAAGTACTAACTATACCTAAAGTTATCAGTTTTCTAGATATTTTTATTTTTCTATCCAAGTATTAATTTGGTAGATATTTTAACGTTTACGAATGATTATTGTAAGTTGGACAGGATTGATTTGTAAAAAACTGACTGTTTGACATTATTGTTTATTAATTCAGTATTGGGGTACATCGTAAATTAGCAACACTTATTTAGTAATTCAGTAATTAATTCAATTTAAATTAGCAATAATGAATTTTACTACTGATGAAATGGTAGATATGATCTGGATATTGGAGGAATGCAATAAAAATGCATTACGATCAGCTAGAATTTATCAAGAACAGCAATTTATTAGTAAGCAATTTTTTCAATGATCGCTTTCAAGTATGCATAGATGTTTTGTCAGGTCATTTTGAGCACCTTATTTAAGTAAGATAAGTTAAAATTTTACTGTTGTTTTTTATTTTTCTGTGTTATTTTTTTTTTATTTTCCGTCGATTATTTTTTATAAATTTTATTTGAAATAAATTGTATTCTTGTCTGTGTCTTTATTTCGTTACTGAATTAATAAACAATAATGTCAAACTGTCAGTTTCTGACAAATCAATCATGGCCAACACACAATATACCCGGTTCGCTCATCGAGCAATAAGACAAAAGAGGGAATGTAAAGGTAGTGGGGGTAAACATATTGATAGACAGGAAGTGCCATCTTGAGAGGCCACTTTAGACAAGGATAGACAGTCTCTTTCCTTGTTTAAGAAGTCAAATTTAGTTAGGTTATGTTATTGTTGGTCCCAACTGTCACATGAAATTTTATTTATATTGAAATCTTTTACCAATTGTGTCACTTTTTAGACTATTATAGTTAATATTTAATTAAAACTTTCTCGTCTGAAAAATATTTTATAGCTATTGTTAATAAGTGTTGGAAAATTTAAATTTAGCGCCTTTGCATTTCCGGATATGTCCGCCATCAGAGGCCACTTTTTTGGTCTCCTTTTCATAACGATTAGATTCCCTCTTTTATCTTTTTGCTCGATGGGTTCGCTATTCCCAGTCCGAACCACTCCGAACTATCTAGTGAATTTAGTAATTATTTTTTTTGCGAAGTTAGCTACTTTTTGACAGACTCGAAGTGGCTGGAAATTACTATACAACCAAGCATACGTGCTCTTAGTCAATACTATTGTAAACAAAAGCAAATAAAATAGAACTTTGCGAATTACCGACAATCAATATTTATTTATTTACACCATATAATGTATTGATAACAAATAATAAAATTATTTATTTTACAAAATAAAAATAGTGGGAATAAATTCTACAAAATTAAGAAGTCAAAGTGAGGTTAAATGGGACACAGCAAGTTCCTTATATTGTGACTAGGATGGAATCAATGATTAACGATTAACAGTTCATTGAATGCCATTAACATAAACTGTGGTTTTATTATATTACAAAATAAGTGTACTTCGATATGCTAAGAGGATTTAGAAGAGGATTAATAATAAAGAATTTAAAAACTTTGGTTGCCTACATTTGGCGCAACTTAACGATATAAACTATTATATTAATAATATAAAATTAGTCTAACTTTTTTATAAAATATATTTTTTATATATAATAAAAACTTACTTTCTTCATACATCCGATAAATTTCTAAGCGAATTTGATTTTTGATACTATGATTTAAGTCAGTCGTTAATTTTCATTTTGCGATTGTGCTTCTATGTTAAGGTTGTATTATGCCCATCTTTATATTTCCGCACACTTTTTTTCTGAGACTTTCAGACATTTGGATGTTAACTGAAATATTTTTGTTATCAAGAACATTTTTAACATTTACATAATTCGATAAATACATTTTAATGAGCAACTTACCTCAACAGGGTTTTCATTCGTCAAATAATTAAAAAAAAAATGGTAGGCATTTTGAATAAACCTTTGTGTAGTTTCATTACCTTGTAATTTAGGAACAGCATCGTTACTCATCTAAAAATAATAACTTTTAAAGAGCAATGTTATCATATTTATTAAGAAAAACTTACCAACACATTAGCTGATGGAACAAATGGAAACTTTTGACTATTTTGATTGTGTTGTAGGTTTACGACAAGGAATCTGTCAAAATATGCCCGAGCTAAGCGAGTATAATAATTATTGGTAAACGTTAAAATATCCGCTAAATTAATACTTTGATGGAAAAATAAAAATATCTAGAAAACTGATAACTTAAGGTATAGGGAGTACTTCATAAAATTTGAAGTACGATATTAGTACTTTTCGATAGTGATATAAAATACAGGATGTTCTATTTAAAATTACCAAACAAATAATGTACTGTGCATTTTGACTTACCCTGTATTCGATTTAACGAATATTATGAAAACGAATATGTTTTATAATTTTTAACAATTAATAAAAAACTATGGTTGCAATATATTAATGTTCCTATACTCATTTTTAATTATACAGGGAGTTAAACTTGATACGATTTTCAGGTAATATTAGTTATAACTTTTTAAATACCCGGTATAACATAATAAAACTTTACATTGTTGTGATGTGGAAGTGAAGCAGATTTCAAATTTAAAATAAGATACAGGGTGTTCCATTTAAAAAAACATAAGTTTGGTCTGCCATCATCTTATTGAACACCCTGTAAGATTGTAACTAATTTTAAAATGTGGAGTTTAAAACTACCTACAATTTTTGTGAATAACTTTTTTTTGTAATTTTTACTATAACAGATCTACTGAGCTTCCTCACATTAATCAATCACCCTGTATATATAGATAAATAGATAGGTAGATAGATATATGTCTGTGTTTGTATATATTTAAAATAAAATAAATAATATAAATATAGCCTATATTCTATTAATATTATAAATATTCTTAAAAGTTAGAGTTTTAGTAATAAATGGAACAATTTTCAGGAGCCTTATCGAATAAGTTTGAGTTTTGAAATCCGTCAGTGTCTACACAATAATAGTAATCCGTATCATCTTTTAGTATACTTTGATACGCTCTGTAATTTCCCGAACCTTCACATCGTAGCCCATGTCTGTAAAGAACGTAGTCGCGTGCACATCTACAAGTTAAACTTGCAAAATCTGATTCAGAATTACTTTGATATGTACTAATTTTTGAACCATCTCTCCACGTGCAATAAGCAATACCGTCACTAACGTTATACACCCCATAAGCACCGTCTCCATCACACAAACGTATTCCTAAATTAATATACGTAACACCGTGGTTTTTAAGAGCACGTGTTGTTTTAGCCATGGCGTATGCAATACTGTCACATTGTTTCAAATATTGGCTGCCTGTAGTTGCAACTTCATAGCAGGGTAACTTGTTCATAGCTTTTTCTGGTACTATGGTTGAAACCAAATCTCCGGTTTTTTCTTCCGCGCACCAACACAAACCACTGTCACATTGTAATTTTTCATAATTTCCTAAACTGTTACAGTGCAAAGATACATAGTCTCTACCACTTTCTAATAATTCAGCTTTTCTCCTACTACAAGCACAAGTCATATCTGCGGATTTAGAATGTTTAGCTTCCCCAAACAACCTTTTTCCGTGTTTATCAAAACACATACATCTTCCACTGACGCCACCTTTGCATTGCTTTGCTTTCCAGTAACCATCATCTTGACAAGCGGGCTTAAATTTTAAGGCAGTGAATTTGTTGTAACGGAAATCTGAAGTGTTTGTATGATAAGCCATACAACTATTAAGATCAGGAACACAAGTATCTTGACATCTTGACCACGGGAATGTAGAACAGTCTGCGTCAACTTTACATGTTACTTTAACAGCTGCATTACTTGCCGAACATCGTTTTGCACACATATATGCTGGCGGACAGGGACAATTTTTTCTTAAATATCCCGAGTCAGCATACATCTGGCATCCCGGAAGACAGGTCTTTGTATCTACTGCGTAAAAATATGAGTCTGTTGATGTTTGTAGCGCGATGCAGTCGTCAATACAAAAGTCCGTAACTAAAATATCGTTACAGGTTTCTAAACATTCTTGCCTACATAAAAGGAAAACAAGTATAAACAAAAGAACCTTCATTTTGATTCACTTCTATCACTGACGCAGCTTTCTTTGATAACTTTTACTGACTGATCGAAATAATATTATCAACTACGCTTGATAAGATTTCGCCCAATTGGTTCTCAAGATATTTAAGATAACCAATCTTATCTTAAAAAAATACTGTGTGATGATTCAATTCAATTAGATGATTTTATATTTACTTATTTGTTAAGATTTTACAAATTCTAGTTTAAAAACTACGTGATTTATCAAAATTTTAAGAAAATTTCCACACAAAATAAAATTGAGATAAAATATATCAGAACGACTATTTATTTCCTGAGTACTAATATAGTTGTATGTTCACTTTGTATACATAATATGAAGACAATTTGAAGTGTACACAAAAATTTTGTCTAATGAAAATAACCGATAACGTTTTTTAAGGGCGAAAATTTAACGACAATAATTGACCAAATCTTTATATTAAACAATAATAGCGTACTATTAGGAAATATTTATTTAAAATGAAATTATTGGTTTAAATAAGATATCTTAAAAAAGAGAGCTTCGAGATAAAAACAATCATAAATAACGTGTCGAGAACTGGAGCAACCTGCCAACAGCTGTGAAACTTATGAATTATTTATAGCCATAGCTGGTATGCCATATATACTTAAAGGTACCTGTAAGTATATATGGCAGACCAGCTAAAAGTCTAAAAGCAATGGTCGAGATCAGCGTAGATGTAATACTGAATATTTCCAGCATGATGTGGATCACAGATGAATGGCCTAATGGGTGATGCGAATCAACCTTTATCCCTATCTTTGGGTTGAGATTGAGTGGGAGATTGATATCTGTGGATGCACCTATTGATGTGATTTTCGCGGTAACCGTTTTGGGTGGGAGCTTGTTTTAAACTAGACAGCTCAACGGGTCTACTTGTATCATCGCAAAGGCGTATTGATCGCGTATTGATCCGGAAACAAAGGTATTAATGACTGAATTTGTGAAGGTAGATGATGAGAATTCGTATGCAAGTAACGATTGGTATGGGTATGTTTTCGATAAACTGAGTGATAAAAACCGTGGGATTCGTTTTTCTGTAGGGATGAATCAGTTCAACCACAATCAGTCCACCTCCAACTTCAGATGAGTTTGAAAAGACATCAAAACATTCCTACAGTGGAGCTAAACGGCGAATGTATCATTCGTCATTACGACAACGATAATTAGTTATTATGTGTGAATATTTATAAAGTTACTGCAAATTTAAAACGATTTACGTATTTCAACTGACATTTAAACGTACCTGTTGGATTTCTGAATCTAGTCGACAAACTATCCAGAAAGGCTTGCTTTGAAGAAACGATAGACCTATCGACCCAAACGTTAGATTTCGCATGTCCAGCGTTAACCCACGTCTCATCCAGGTTAGTAAATCTTACGACCATCATGTAGGTGAGATTTAATTTTCTTTATATATTCCCTTCTCCAGAAAACAATCTAATCTTTTTCTAACAATATGCTCTGCTTCTCTCCTTTTTGATATTTAAAATTAAAATTAAGTATCTTAAGGTGTCTTACGAAGTCTGTAAAATGATCTTTTAAAATCAGGTAGATTATTATCCTCGTTAACTTATCTTAAAACTTTGTCTACAATAGGAATCTCGTTTCTAAGATCTGTTTATCATTATGCTAAATTCAGTACTGAATTTAGTACTAAAAATATTGTATCTATAACAAATTAGATGCGCTCGCCAATTCAGTACTAAAAATTAGAGCATGTTCTAATTTCTTGTACTAAAAATGATGAAATATTAACTAATAGTGAGGTTATTCACAACTATTCGTAACATTTTTTTTAACAAAATATTATTCATCTGTAAAAAGTTTTATATGCCAAAGGGTCTTCCACTAATAATTCTTCATTCAACATATTTAATATTCCTTTGCCCAACCTTCTCTTTTCGATCCATTTTTTTCTCCATATACGCTTTTTTTTAGGAAGAGTATGATTTTTTTCTTTTTGCTAGCATTGTAACGAATATTCTGCCTATCACATAGGGTATTACTATTGGGGGTTGAAAATTGGGGGACAGAAATTATTGGGGTTAGAGATAAGGTAAGCAAAATAAACGAAACTTATGCTAACGGCACTCAGGGTTTATTTAGAGAGCTAGGTCATGGATAAGTTGAATGGCAAGGGATTGGATTGGGGCAACTACAAAAATTAAATAAAGGGGTACTTACGTGAATCTCCTGTACAAATGGACAAACAAAACAACAGGAAGGACCCTCTAGCTATTTAAAATGGGACGCCGCTTCGAGGGAACTCCTTCCCGCTGGATGAAAGAAAAAGGCTCTTCTTTCCTAAAAACCCAAACGACAGGTTAGGAGACTTTTCTAAAATAAATAAACAAGATGGTTTGGGAAAATAAATTAAACATTTATTGTTGTCTCACCACAAACAGTTGCAAAATATAAATGGCACAAAAATACTATATTAATAGTTAAAGAACAAATTTTTACTGGGCTATAAACTGTGGCAGAAATAAATAATTACAAGTAAAAAGATATCTTTTAAAATGAAACTATGTAGAGAGGTTAACCTTCTTTAAAAACAAAACAAACTAATGTCAAAAAATAAAACTAGCTGTCAGATGTCAATATTGAATTTTTAAACTGAACAAATAAAAAGCAAATCAACTAGCAACTAGAAGCCGTATCAACTTAGAAGATACTACAAAAATTACAAAATATCCTTATAGTGACATGAAACATCTGATTAAAGTTCATTTCAACATTTGGCAAAATTACTGGGAAAATTCAGCAACCACATTAAACCCAATATGCGCAAAGGTGAACAGCTCTTTGAATAAACCCACAAAAAGATATGATCAAGTAATTATAAACCGTTTAAGAATTGGTCATACTTCTGTCACACACAAATTTTTAATCAGTAAAGATTCACCACCAATTTCCAACAACATATACACTTCATTGACAGTGAAACACTTTCTTCTTGACTGCCCATGTTTCCAAAATCAAAGAAGAATGCATGGAATTTCAGACGACATCAAATCCTGACAGATAAAAATTTAAATGTATTAAATTATTTAAGAGATATAAAATTGTATTATACTATTTAATCATTTGTGTTTATCATCCCACTAATAACCCTGCATGGTTGATGTGGAATAAGTGTTGTAAATAAAAAAATACACCGATTAACAAGCAAAGTTCACTAATTACACTAACAACTAAAAGCCAATTTTGCTAAAACATGTAGTAACTTTACTAACTTTTAATAATTTAATAGGAGAGCTAAACTGTATGCCTAGGGCTTGTTTCGTATCAGCGTAATTATGTTTATTCCCAGTGCATATTTATTTTGAATATACTGTAGATACTCCGTTTTTGTAGATAAGATAAATACTAAAAAATCTATTTTGTTTCAGGGAACAGAAAATAGAGGTAGTCCACGTCATTCGATAGCTAGCAATAACAGTTCCAATTTGTCAACGCCCCCATCTCCACATGCAGATCATCACAACAGTTCTAGTTATGACAGCTAAGAATATTGAAGTGTGTGATCTGCCGTTATTGCTTTTTCGACAAGAAGACTTCGTTTTACATTTGCGAATAACATTTTTGATAAGAGTCGTTGTTAATATTCGTAACTTGTTCAAAAACTATTATGTTCCTAATTTTAAATTAATTATTTTCTAAATATTTATAGGAACGTGCATTTACATTTCAGTCATTTTGCTAATTCTAAACACTGTATATAAATAATTGATATAAGAATATCATATGGGTTATTATTTTTATGCGTTGAAGTTGTCTGAATTTTATATTACAAAGGCTTGAATATGATCTTGAAATCGAATACAGCATAATACTATTTTGTTCGGGCTGATATACATCAAATAGGCACTCATGTGTGCCCTGTTTATTTTGCACAGTTCTGCATGTTCTACATAATTGAGCTAGAATAATTACCTGTATTTTGTTTCAAGATCTCCATCGATCGTGCCTTATTTTGGATATACACTTCTTGTTTCATCCTATGATCTCTATTCGATGCTGTTTTCATTCATCCATCTTGTTAAGATCCTCATCCGATCTCATCTGAACATGAAGCCTGTGCCTTTGCTATTTACCGATGCTTCATTTTCTACATAATTGAGGTAGAATCATTACTGTGTATTTTGTTTCAAGATCTCCATCCATCCTATTCGATGCTCTTTTCATTGTTCCATCTTGTTAAGATCCTCATCCCATCTCATCTGATCATGGATCTTTGCGCTTTTGATATGCACCATTGTCAATATTTGTCTACTGTTTGAAGTGTTCAGATTTGTCAAGCCATGCAATTGGTGAAGCAGAGTTTGGCGCGCTTGGACGTTGAATCTACATTACCGGCCAATCATAAAACTTAGCTAAGACCGGAATCATTTATTAACTGTCGGTCAGTCAATTCTTCTTCGTCTGCCAACTGTCAATTCTTCTTCTTTTCCGTAGCTAATGTCAAAATGAAGCTACACTGACGCTGGGGATATGACACAAGCATAACAGACATATTTTGATGTTTAACGATTTGAGACTGTCACACGTGCGGAAACCGTAACGAGCTGCATACTGTATTTACGACGAACAAGTGATAATTTTTAAAGTTGTTATTGTACTTCCGGTATCCGGTAGGAATATATGTTGGTCTTAGATGGTTCAACGAGTTACATACTATATTTTATCTACGACGAACAAGTAATTTATTTTTTAAAGTTGTTATTGTACTTTCGATCTCCGGTACGAATATATGTTGGTCTTAGAGGGTTTTTCGATAGAAATCATGCCACAATTTCCCCTGATCATGTTTACAAAACATACGGAATGCACTGTATATACTAACCCAAGTCGACAACATATTTTGCAGATATGGATTACGATTTACTTATAGGTTTATGTACAACTCCCTTCGTAAAGGTATACAGGTGTGCATCCGCTCGGGATAAAAGTCGACCATCCTTTTTATACTCCGAAGAGGACCATCAAATATTCAACGTTAAAATCTGTTAGATATATTGAGAGAGAAACATATAATACACAGGTGTGATATACCATATAATACCATGAAAGGTAAACAAAGAAGAACAAGAACGAATGACTATTTTGACGAAGAATATCCGATTATAATAGGGAGAAAAAAAACAGAGCATATTTAATGATGCAACAGGGATATAGAACCAGACAAGCAGAGGAGGAATATAAATAGCTACGTAAGGAAGAAAAGAAAATCCACCGCAGAAAGAAGAGAGAAACTATGAACAAAGAACTTCAAGAATAACAAGATCTAAGTACGCCAATAGAAATGAGAAAATTTTACCAGAAACTAAACAAAAGCAAAAAGGAATTCAAACAAAAGAAGTAAAGAGATAAGGAGAGTAATATTGACATAAGTGCAAGAAAAACTAAGAAGATGGAATTTCTGAATGAGACCAAAAATGTTTTAGATTATATTGATATATTAGATGTTCTTTTGTAATACTCCATTTAACGTTTTTTATAAAAGTATTGCTTTTAATGATGTATTCTTAATATTCCATATGCTAAATAAAAAATAAATTCTCCGCTACCGATAGGCTTCTTGGTAAAACTCATAAGGACAGCTAAATTATAGGATAACTTACGATATCACGCAATGACTCGTTTTATTATTTCTTTGCTGGAGTATAGAATCTACTAATGTTCGGAAAGGTGATCAAAATCTAAAAACACCCAATGATTTAATCGTAAAGAGAGCGGTCTGCGTAGATGTGGATAACAGGATATGGATCTCAGCGCTATAGACCGAAATTATAACATTCCAATAGCTTATTTTAATTTGTATCTTTTTTGTTATTTCCCTCTGAGTGTATTACTGTATGGATTCTAGGAATTACTTCCTTTGCTGGGTTGCTATTTCCCATCGTTTATTGGGCTAACCCGTACTCTTACTCCCTGCACATTTCCAAAGTGTCATGTCTACCGTCGAGTTCTACTTTGCTGCAGTTTACATTGTATTGTATAGAACAGTTCAGGTTTTCTGTCAAGAATGTCGTTTTCTAATGAAATAATACATAGTATCAATGAAAAGAGACTTAAGCCAAGAAATTTAAATGTGCTGGAATTGGATGAAAAGGTAAAGTAAAAAAGTCGTATATATAAAGACCATATATTCTATGGTTTACTTGCTCCAAAAAAGGTTCAGTGGTTTTAACTGATTATTTTTGATAAAATGACAGTTGATCAATTAAAATGTAAACCTAACACAAGAGTTTTTATTGAGTAATAAAAGATTTACAAAATCTACTTTTTCAAATTATAAATAAAAAACAAAGTTAAAAGTTAATTTAAAGGTTAATTTGGATTAACTGAAAGAATTTCACGATATGACAAAACCGTAAATAACGTTTGATGTAATTTTCTGCTGTGGATTGTTCATTTTACGCAGAACAACATAGGACATGATACACCTACCGTTTATTATTATTATAATGCCTGACCTAACCTAACTTTTAGCTTTGTGTTTGCTTTATTTGTTTGTGTTTTTATTTTGAAAATGGATTTTGTAAATCTGTTATTACTCAATAAACTGTTCTAGGATAAACATGTTTTAATTTTAATACAGTTTTGCAGCTTTTTAATTGATCAACTGTCTTTTTATTATCAAAATAATCAGTTATAAGTTTTAAAACCACTGAGCCTCTTTTGGAGCAGAATATAAGGTCTTTATTTATACAAACTTTTACTATGCATCCAATTACAGTGCAGCTGGTTCATAAAAAAAACTTATACGACTCTTTGTAAGATTTGGTCATTTTGAGCAGTGTATTTGATTGGTCTGACATTATATTATATTTATTATTACCAGAGATATGTAAGAGAGGGGATATGACATACGGTGAAGTAGATGGGTTCAGTTCCGCCATATTGGATAGTACTTTCTGTCAAATGTAAGTTATCGCACTAAGTCCACAGTATTATTATATTACCCAAAACTATGTTGAAGAATCGGAATTTTGCAAGTTTTGGTGGAAAAAATTTACATATAAAGGTATCGTAAATATAGCTTAAACTAATTTAAATCTTGAGGTATAAAATTATGCAGATACAACCATTTTATAATAACCCCACATATTAACGATTGGGTTTTAATTTGGACTGTACCTGGGCCATTGTAAGGTTTCGATGTTGTTATTCTGGAGCCATTGGTTTATTATATTTGCAGTGTGAACAGGACAATTATCTTGGAGGATAAAATTATTTTCTGGATACAACTGTTCTACACTGGGAAACATGATGTTTTCTAATATTCAGATAAGTCTGCACAACAAACCTACCATCAATACGCCATACCATTCCCATTCCTCTAGATGAAATCCATCCCCATACATTGGCGCCAAAATGACCAGCTGCTCAATATCTATTAACATATAGAGGATTAAATCTATTATTATCTGGTCTATACACCCCAATTTTGCCATTTTTAGAAGATTGAAAAATTTTTTCATCTGTAAATATTACCCTGTCCCAAAAATCTTGATTTTGTAACTGGTGGTTTAAAGCAAATATAAGTCTTGATTGCTTCTGTTATGCTGTAAGAGCTTGTTTTTTTGTTGCAGTTCGGTACCTAATACGCGATACTTTAATTCTGCGTTAAGTTGTTGTCTTTCTTCCCGGAAACTATGACATAATTCTTGCAGTTTTCGCATCTTCAAAAGGATTCTCTTCTAATCTCTCCAAAACCGTACGATCTTCATGAGCGGTAGATATTTTTGGTCTTCCAGAACCTTGCTTTCTTTCGAGAGTTTCTTGTACTCTCCATCTTTTATTAATATTAAAAAATGTTCTGCTTACGTGAAAATGATTCGCTATATCAGATAGTGACCAACCATCTAATTTCGTTACAATTCTTGCTTTTAGTTCTTTCCTAGCATGGTGAGCCATTTTTTGAGGTTGAACAGAAAAAGTTATCTGGCAAATTTTAAGATTTGACAGTAATATTGACAGTAATATGTATTTGTGTATGAACGGTGTATTTTGTATGAACGAACTTTTCCATATAATACAATGTAAACTCGACGGCAGCCATGGAACTTTGGCAATGTGGAGGAGGTACGAGTACGGGTTAGCCCAATGTCTTGCTCTTACAATGTTTTCACCGATTACAGGTTTTCGCTACTGTAGTTTTGTAAAATGCATTGTTATCGGTTTTTATAGGCCATGTTCCGGAATTACTTGTTTAAGACGTTTCATATGTAACCACATCATTCAGAATGTGGTCTCTGCGCAAAGGAGGATACATATGTGCTTGATTCCGCAACGCCATTAATAATGTGTTTCGCAGCTACAGAATAACCGTCAAGAACATAGAGTTCCGGAATACGACCTTTAATCCTCGATAACAATATTCCCTTACAATATTTTCACTCTTTATTATGTTAAACAATATGACAGTATGCTTTACTTTTACAGTTATAATTATAGGTTATCGTTACAAGTGTTCCTGTAAATATTTTTATAAGACTTTAATAATGTATGTATTGATTTAGTTTTTGAACATTTTATATTAGGCTAGACCCGCAAGGATAGTTGTTAAATATAAATATACCGATCGTACTTACCCGATCGGTTAGCCCATCGCGCATGGACTGATTTTACAATCGATCGCTCTAATTTCTTGAGAAATATATTAAGGTTAGTTTATTAACGACATTTCGCTCTGAATCTAGATATATGTGTCAACAGTATTTCGCCTATCGCTATCGGATCGCAAATATATGTGACAGGAGATTATTTTTAATCGGCCGATTTTACAATGGTTCATGCGCACTTTTTTAATACAGTATAATCGTCCATGCGCGGCTAGCCTTAGTAGACATGATTAGTTACCTCAACGAATTTCAAACAATAAACAAAAACGATATTATAAATATTAGTTTTAGTAACGGCACTGTACTTATTTTTATGTAAATTAGTTTTGATTTAATTTGTTTATAATTTTATTAAGATACCAATGTAAAATACCAGTCAATTAAGTGTTGTAAAATTGTTTTCTAAAAAGTATATTAGTATTTTTCAATATATTCAGTTTTAAGCAATACATCATTTTTAAATTAGTAAAAACTGATGTGTTGTCGTGAGTTTTTTTATATATTTTATATTTATATTTATTTATTTGTCTTGTTTTTAACATTTTCACTAACGTTAATAATGGAAGTGAAGTTAAAGACGCATTTACACATGTCAGAAAACTCTACCGAATGATGCAAGCCACTAACATAAAACAGAAATAATATGTGTGCTGGTTAAACTAAATTTGTGTGTAAATAAAGAAGATGACCTGCTGCAACAAAACAAAAGTTTGCATTCTTGCGTAAAAATATAGCTAACGACAATTATGGTGAGGTTTCGTCGCGCAGGTTTTAAACACTCCTTTTTAACGATATTGGTTAAGTAAATTGTGGCAAAGCAAGCAACAGTGGCTGGCACAATTCTGTCTGAATCAGAATCATTTTACGTGTTGCAATGGTGTGTACAAAGGTTATTCATTTGAATAAGGGTATTATAATACGAAACCTAAATTATTAAATTGAATAGTCTTCTTCTTTGAGTACCTCTCCTATCGGAGATGCCGGATGCCTTGCATCGAAATTAAATGAAAGACCGTTTTTTTGTTTCTGAATAGTCAATATTTGATAACATAAAAAACAGAATCTTGAACATGTTATTAGTAGTTGCTGTCAATAACAATGTA